TAGCACAGCCTCCAAACTTTCTGTACCCCAGGGTTTTGGTCATTTTCTGTCTGCTTTATTACTTCACCTGTTTGCATGAAATCGGGATGTTGGTGTTTAAAAAGTTATCTGTTCCTTTTGCTTATTCTCCACTGACTCAAAAGTCATTCCGTCATGTGGTTGCAAAAGAAATTTTCACATTATAATTATAAAAATAACTAGTAAGTCTTTAGGAGGAAAAGAACAGTCTTTTTAAAAAAGAAGTAACAAAATTCTTTTCCATACAACATTTGGTGATAAAAGTAGAAGCACTTTTAGACTAGAAAATAATATAAAAGTTTAAAGGGGGGAAATCGGAGGGGGAGACGAACCATGAGAGATGATGGACTCTGAAAAACAAACTGAGGGTTCTAGAGGGGAGGAGGGTGGGGGGATGGGTTAGCCTGGTGATGGGTATTAAAGAGGGCACGTTCTGTGTGGAGCACTGGGTGTTATGCACAAACAATGAATCATGGAACACTACATCAAAAGCTAATGATGTAATGTATGGTGATTAACATAACATAATAAAAAAATAAATAAATAAAATAAAGGTATGCATCTAAATAGAATAACTTTTTGAAGATGTTTGTTAGAAAGCTTTGAATACAACAGAGCTGCTAACATAGGACTAAATAGCTATTTGAATATTTTCAACTCAACTAGCTATCTTCAACCCAACACAGTCAAGTAAATCAGAACAGATTTGAAAGAGTAGATATAAGAATCCATTTTGACAAATCAGAATTCACAGCTCAGTTCAATAATAGCATTAATTCCTAGATCTGGCACTCTCATATGTCACAACAAAAAAAAATGTATACCAAGCTTAAAGTATATCAAGTGCATCCTAGAGAAATGTATACTTTCACACCAAATATTACTCAACCAACCTACGGAGTACAAAACTGGAAGCACTTGAAATAAGAGCAGTACTACCATCTGTAAATACCTGATTGTGAGAAATAAAGGATATATATAATTTTTAACTATGGGTAGTCTACATATCACATGCCAAGCCTATAACTATTTATTGTCGATGTAGTACAATGCCAATATAAAATGCCTTGTCTTCTAGATACAGCTAAAAACAGCCACAAGCACACTTTAACAGACACCCTCCACCCAAAAAAACAAAAAGAACAGAAATCACTCTGCTTTCCCTCGAGAAAAGACAATCTTCAGTATTAAAAGAGTAATGTGGAATGGTAACATGATCAGTATAGGTTGCAGAGTCTAAAAGACTTGGTAAAATAATGAGTTAACACTGAGAATAGATAAAAGTGTCCATCCAGCCAAATGAAGTTGGTATTAAATGTTTAATAGCCTGTATATAACCTTGAGCATTGGAACCCAATGACTTGGATACCAGCACTTAAAGAGATAATGAATCTAGCTCAGTGTTTGTCAGAAAATATTACCAAACTTTCAAGTCCTAGTAGAGGGCATTAAAACACTTCTTGGCCCTGAATGAGAAAAGAGTTCTGTTGGAGCTGACCCAAAAAACTAACTGTAGTATGACTGGCAAACCTAGGTGACTTGAACTTGGCCTGAAAAATTCAAGTTTCAAGAAAGAAATTGTTACTAGATTGGTCATGTCAAACTTTTGAAAATTTATTGTTATCACTGAATTGCAAAATAATTTTCTAATTAACTTTATAATTAAATCAACTCTACTTAGTATATAACAAAGTTAAAATTTAATATTGACAAGAATAATAATCTTGGTATAATATGACTTATAATTGTAACTGCTAACATTTGTTAAGCTTTTATTATATGTCAAGCACTGTTCTAAGGACTTTACTTGTATTCTCAAATCCTATAAAATTGGTACTATAGGGATGCCTGGGTGGCTCAGTCAGTTAGGCGTCTGCCTTCCACTCTGGTCATGGTCCCAGGATCCTGGGATAGAGCCTGGCATCGGGCTCCTTGCTCAGCGGGGAGCCTGCTTCTCCCTCTCCCTCTGCCCCTGCTTGTGTTCCCTCTCTCGCTGTGTCTCTCTCTGCCAAATAAATAAATAAAATCTTTAAAAAAAATGGTATTATAATAACCCTCATTGTAATACAGGTAGAAGAATGGAGACTCAGAAAAAGTAAATAATTTAAGCAAGATCACACATTTGGCAACGGCAGTGTCTGGGATTACCAAACCATTTGCCACTCTCTTCCCATCTATATAGAAATTCAGGGGCAAAAGGGGGAGAGGGAGTAAGGAGCTGAAATTGATGTTCCAGTGTATAAACTACAATTCTATAGTTTTCAGAGCATCTTTATGCTGCTAATTTCACACACAGGCAGAATTTTAAGAGGGGTAAAAATGACTGATACATGTTATACACTAAAGTAAATATTTGTTGAAAAAACTGTGTCAAAGGGGAAATAAAAAATAATAAGACCTCCTTCTACCTCTAAAACATAGTGGACAAACAAGTTCATTCATTAATTTTGTTTTTATGAATAACACTGAATAGTTTTCTTAAATAGAGACTGCTAAACAAAATAATTATACTCCGTATACTTATATCATTATTTAAGCTGAAGGAAATGGAAATATAAAAATTTTACAGTGTATTTTCATTCACCAATATCAAAAGAAATCCTGTGCAAAATAATCTGTGAAAATATGCTACAATCTATACAAAACATAAAATAAATGCATATACAATAGGATTCAAGATAAATTTCACATCACAAATAGGTTTTATATTACATTTGGTTAGTCAATGACTAGAATACCACTTCAAAAGAACATTATTTAACCTGGGACTGTGTATTTTCCCCCACAGAATAATCACTGAAGAAGGCTGTGGGTTGCTTAGATTTCTAGGACTTTTATGAATGAAGCTCAGAGCTCATTCGTTATGTGAGTACTCTGCACATAGTTATTTGTAATACAGATATTTTATTCTATTTCACACTTCTTCTGGCTCCAGAAGTTAAATATCCTAAATTCCAAATATCTCTCAAATTACCTTATTAGTTAAATTGCATGAGTTTCCCACTGCAATAAAGTATTTTAAGGACGTGCTTTGAAAATTTAGAGACAACCTGTGTTCTCTTTATAATCAAAATAAACATGTTCAAGTCCACAACTCTCTAGGGGAAAAAGAAAGCCAACACCGTGAAAGATCGCAAAATGCAAGAATCTTAACCACTGAGCATGTATGCTCATATCTTCTCTAACAAAAACCTCTAGCCAAAAGAGAGTCAAAAGTTCATCTTATCTTCTAAAATGCTTGGAAATACACCCATGTTGGAATGACGTAAATGTTTAAGAGCTAAAATGCTAATAAAGGTCCCACTGATAAAGGATAAAATGTAAAGTGATGCTAAAAATGTTTTAATTACTTAATATCTATTGAAAAAATCCCAATTTTATGTAAGCAATAAAATATCACCTTCCTTTAGGCAACTTTTCTATCAAACTTTTTTACTGTGCAACAAATAATACCTTGATATAATTAAGACAATTAGATTTTTATCTACCACTACAGCATGCACTTTCTTTGCTTCTCTGTGAAATGGTTTTCACAGGAAATCCAGCACTATTCAAAAAGACAATCTCACACTAAGGCCCTGTGTGCTGTCTTGTGTCACCGTATCTCCAAGGTTACTAGAACATATAATGAGCACCGTCCAATCAAGCTTGCACCTGTGCAAAAAAAGAAAAAAGTCCTTTCCACTTCTCAAATCAAAATAAAGTGCAATAAATTGCCTAGTTCCCAAACAGTGAGTGAATTACCAAAAGCAATAGATACAATTAAAACTGGTCTATTTCTATCATAAGCTGTCCATGATATTCTCCCTCACTCTACAGGCAAGTTTTAAAGCTTCTTGTGTTTTGCCAAAGAACAACCGTTTGCCAAATGATGTTCCTGCTGCCATCCCAGCTGGCTTTTCATTTGCCCAAATAGCTCTCTGGTTGTGGCCCTCCCCGTTTGATAAGCGTCACTGATTACTGTGCTGATCCCATCCCCCCAGCCCCAGTGATATTTGGTGTAGTCCTTGAACTCGATCCACAGGGCCCCCCTTCGGAAGCGCACTACAAAAGGCACCATGCCAAATGCTTTCGGAATCCTCACCCTCATTCTCTCATTTCAGAAAACCACGGCATTTCATTCCCCCCGGGAAAGTGGACTCGATCCCCCTTTTGCACTTGAGGTGCACAGAAAGGACACACACACACACACACACACACACACACACACACACACACACACACACGTCCGTTCCTAATCTCCAACCCTGACTGCAGAAGACATCCAAACTCCCGTTCCCTCCACCCTCCACTGTTCAAAACACCCAGCAGTTACGGACAACTGGCGTGGGGGAAATCTGAGGTTTCTGTGAGTCGACGGACACCTCTTTCCCACCAGCTGCTCTCACGCCCCGGCCCCCTGAGCAGCTCCGGAGGCACGGTGGCCCCTTCTCTCGTTGCCCACTTCCGAAAACACCCGTAACCGTCAGCTCCTGCGCCAGACAGGCACCAACTGGAGATGACCCTGGCGTGCGCCGTAATGCCTCGATGCCAAAGTGCCCTCTGTAGGGACCCCTCTGAGACCCACATAAGTTAACCCCCAGGAATTCCGCGGAAGCGGAGAGGGAAGGAAGGAAGGGGCCCTATGCGCCCAGCTTTGGGCTCCCGTCTTTTCCCCGCCCTCGGCAGAAGGGAGCCCCGCGCCTCCAAGAGCAGGGCAGGGTGAGGGCAAAATCAGTGAAGTTAAGAAGAAGGAGGGCTGGTTGGGAATTGCGTGCTCTCGAGCTGAAGAGGGCGGGAATCGAAAGGGGGATCACTAGGGACGAAACCGCAAACTGTGTCTGCAGCGTGACGGCGCCGTACGCGGGAAGCCCCTCGCACCGCCGAGTTAACCAGCTCCCGCCCGGGACACCGGCCCCGTCGGGGTTCCAGCCGGGCTCAAGCCCGCCGCGCGTCGGCGAAGGGGCGGGGAGAAGCAGGAGACGCGGAGACCGGGAACTCACGGAAAAAGATGTACTCGGTGTAGCTGCTCCAGATCTTGTCGTCGCGGTACTGGTTGACGTAGGCGGCGGTGCCCGAGGAGTTACACGCCACCATGTGGAAGCCAGCCTCGGACAGGCGATCGAACGCCTGCTCCAAGTAGGTGAACTTGAGGTAGAAGCGGGACGTGTACTTCTCGGGCGGCCGGTCAGGGTCGCGGCTCTCGTTGAGCGTGTCCCCGAAGACCTCCTTGGCCAGCGCGATGCGCCCGCACACCATGATGCGCGCCACACGCCGGAACTTGGCGTCCGCCTGGTTGTCTCGCACCGTGGTGTAGGAGCCGCGGTAGCCGAGCGTGAGGAAGCCCGAGCGTTTGTCCGGCGCGCCGCCGCCGCCGCCGCCGCCGCCGCCGCCGTGCGCTCCCGGGCCCGGGGGCGCGGCTGCGGCCGCCCCACGCAGCAACAGCGCGTCGCTGCTGCCCTGGGAGACGTTGTCTTCCAGGTCGCTCTGGCAGCCCTCGTCGTTGAGTGAGTTCTGCTTGGTGACCTTGGGCGACAACAGCTTGACCAGGTCGGTGAGCTGGAAGTACTCGGCCTCGCGCAGGAGCCGCTCCTTCTCCGGGAAGTGCTCCGGCAGCGCGAGCTGCTTGTCCCGCAGATAATCCAGCACGTACCTGAAGAGGAAGCCGTCCCGGTCGATGAAGAAGCGCGCCCGGCTGTCCCTGGGCAGCTCTCCTCGGCGTCGGGCGCCGCCCCGGGGGCTGGAGGGCGAGAACATACTGGCCAGAGTGCTGTCCGGGACGCTGAGCAACGTCGAGTGCTTGGTCACATAGACCTGGCCTCCCACATTGAGCTCCACCACCTCGGGGAAGGGCGAGGGCACACAGGTCCCCGGGGCGGCGGCCGCAGACGCGCCCGGCGAGCTGGACGAGGAGACCATCTCGCTAATGGGCAGGATGGTGCTGCCGCCACTGCCCGTGTCCTTCAAAGCCATGGTCCCCCCGCCGCCGGCCAAGTGACCCGGGAGAGCGGCACTTTCTCCTTCCCGAAGCCCGCGCCTTCCACCCTCGGCGGCCCTCGGCCTTGGCGTGCGCCTGGTGCGCCCTCGGGCCGGGCGGCACGTTCCTTCGGCCGGGGCGTCCCCGTTCAGGGCTCGGGGCAGCGGTGGCGGCGGCGGCGGCGCCCGAGCTCCATCGGGGGAGCGAAGCGCGGGAGAAGAGCTCCGCGGGCGCCGCGGCGGCGGTAGAGGCGCGAGGAGGAGCGGCTGCTCCTTTGGGGTGACGGCGGGGAAGTGTGAGAGAGACTTGCGAGAGGCTGTTAGGCGGCCGCTCGGCTCCCCGCGGGAGGGCGGGGGGGGAGCGGGAGGAGGGGCCGGAGCAAAGAAAACTCGCCGCCCCAGCAGCTTGCGAGCGCGCAGCCAGCCCCGAGCGCGGACGGTGGCGCTAACTACACCTCGCAGCCGGGGCGGCGGCGCTGACGTCAAGCTCCGGACTGGGACCCGAGCCACAGCTGTCACTTAAAGAGATAGGCGCCAGCCGCTGGCTGCGGGGTCCGACGCTAGGGGGCGGGGCGGGGGCCGAGCTGGGAGGAGATGCTCCTTGGCAGCGGGCGGAGAGAGCGAGCAGGGAACCGAAAACCCTGGGCGGAGAAGGACAGCGTCTCTCCTTCCTTCATTGCATTCTTTCCAGCCGTCCGTCCCTCCGTCCCTCCCTTCTTCCTTCTCTTCCGTCTTCCCTACCTTCCTTCCTTATTCTTCGCCCCTGTTCGCCCAGTAAAATTAATTTGGCTGGGGAGGGAAGGGGGTGTTTGTTTGGGGCGGGGAGGTACGCTTGCATTGAGGTGGGAAGTGGTGCCGGGAGCGGTGGGCGTCAGGGAGGAGGTAGGAAAGTTTGGATTATAACAAAAATGCGAGGCTCCTAATCTGAAATTACTACAAATGTTGGCGTGCGAGCAGTGATTGCAGACCACATGGCTGTGAATCTCTTGCGGCGCTTTTACCGTAGTTTTTGACGTGAAGGGCGAAATGCCCGAACCTCTATTGCAATCAGTTGTCATGATTGCATATTTAACTGCATGCGATACGCGTAACTGAAGAACCTTTAAAATCTGATTTCGGTTCACAAAACTAACAAAGGATTGTACGGAACGTAACTGTTTTCTTCTTTCATCTTTTCATTATTTGATTCATAGGAAATGCTTAATAAATGTTTATGGAGGAAAAGACGCAACCAGGGAGGAAATCGACTCCCTGTTCCTACTTTCCAATCCTGATCAGTGCCTTCATTAATCTCTCCATTTTCCTTTCAACTCCACTTCTAACCCCAAGAGTTAAGCCACAAGTGAAAATTATATGAATTTAAGCTCACTAATTTCCACCTGTATATAGAACAGGTACAGTCTGCAAGATCAGCATTATTTGTGATAAAGAAGAGTTAGGATGGAGGCGCCTGCGTGGCCCAGTCCATTAAACACGGACTCTTGATTTTGGTTCGGATCATGATCTCTGGGTCATGATGTCAGGGTCATGATCTCAGGGTGGTTAGATATAGGCCCAGCCCCAGGATGGGTGGCTCTGGGTGTGGAGGCTGCTTAAGATTCTCCTTCTCCCTTAAAAAAAAAAAAAAAAAAGTTACCTAGGATAGCCATGCAAATGAGAAATCTCCTTTCTAGTGGCTATCCACCGGGGGCATCCTTTTGCGTTCAAAAACATGAAGAATCATTGATTATAAAATACAAAAGTGAAAAGAGTATACTGTGGCACAAAGTAGTTTGTTTCTATGATTATAATATTACAAGTGAACTTTATCCACTAATAGATAAAATAATGTATAGACTTTTTTTAATTCTAAATGCCTACTTAGGATTCTTTCTCTGAATCCACCAAAAAAAAAAGTACTGGATTTGAGATAACAGTACTAACCTCAATTTTTTTATAAATAATACATTACTCTTTGGAGAGTTATAAATAATATTTAATTAATTGATCCTTATAAGTGACATCCACAGAAAATGTTATGTCAGTTTTTAAGTTAGGTTACCTGAGACTAAGAGAACCTAGTGGACCAATGAAGGAACGCAACACATATCTTCTAAGACTGAGACTTAAAACTGGCTTTACAGTATGCATCTCCATGCAGTCCTCTTATATGAGCCTATTGCCCCCCCAAATTTATAAACTGATCAAATTAAGAAGTAAAATTGATTTTCACCTTATTCATTTAAAAGCTAACAGCACAAAGGATTTGGAATTTAAAATAATAGTTCCTGGAAAATGAATTAATAGGAGCTTTATAACCTTTATAGATGAATAAATAATAATGCCTCAAACCACTACTAATGAAGCCCATTTATCATAAGGCAAATATCCCTAATGATAAGTATTGTACAGACCATAGACTCGCAATGAAGTGGACGTATAATACATATGCATATGTATTTATGAATATGAGATCTCCAATATTATCAGGTTAAAATCCATTTTAATTTTTTAATTACATAATATATGCTTATAAGATAAATGGTCTAAAATTCATACTCTAAATAAATCATCTTAGAAATTCTTTTTTTAAAAAAGATTTTATTTATTTGAGAGAGGGAAAATGAGAGAAAGAGAGCACATGAGAGGGGGGAGGGTTAGAGGGAGAAGAAGACTCTCTGCTGAGCAGGGAGCCCTATGCGGACTCAATCCCAGAACTCGATCCCAGAACTCCAGAATCATGACCTGAGCTGAAAGCAGTTGCTTAACCAACTGAGCCACCGAGGTGCCCTCATCTTAGAAATTCTTAGTGAATTGCACTGTGTGCTATATTGCTTCTTAAAATAATTCCTTCAGTGTTGATTGAACATTTCTCCTTCATCCTTTCCCTCCCCATATTCCTCTGACTCTCACTTCCTCCCATAACTAAATGCTCTAACAAAACTCCAAACCAAACAAACTGCAGATCCAGAATGTCTTTCTGCTAGGAATGCCTTCCTTTTCTACCAGTTCCCTGATCCTTTCCCCCTGTTTATCTCTTCCCTGAGGTCTCAGCTTTAATAGCACTTTCTCTGGAAATCTTCAGCTTTTTACCAAAACAGGTGTTCCCTCAGCACTCTGTGCTCACACATGGGCAGGGTTTATCACACTGATGTGTCATTGTCTCTCATTAAATTGTAAATATGGCATATAACCATATGCACTATTCTATCCCCAGCATGGTGCCCAGCCCATAAGAGATAGAAAATTTCTATTTGTTGAATGTTTACTGCATGTAAATATGTTCATATCATGAATGGATGATAAAGTGTCAGCTCTGTGCTAGACATTGGGCTACACAACGAGATTGCAGAGATAAGTGAGACTTGGTCCTTCAAAATTCTAATTAGGCAAAGTGAGAACAGAATCTGATCAAAACAAACTCAGTCTAAAAGAAAAGGGAAAACTAAAAACAGAGCTGCAGTATTGGAACAATCATTTTGATGAACTGAGCAATCAATCAACACAAATACTATACAGGGATACCTCATTTTATCGCACTTCACAGATACTGCAGTTTTTAAAATTGAAGGTGAGTGGCAACCCTGCATTGAGGAAGTCTATTGACCCCATTTTTCCAAAAGCATTTACCTCACTTCCTATCTCTATATCACATTTTCACAATTCTCACAAAATTTCAAACTTTTTCATTATTTTTATATTTGTTACGGTGATTTATGATCAGTGATCTTTGATGTATTATTGTAATTGTTTTGGGGTGTCACAATCCATGTCCATATGTAGCAGCCAGCTATTCCTCCATCTCTCTCCCTCTCCTCTGGCCTCTCTATTTGCTGAGACACAACAACATTGAAATTAGGCCCATTAATAAACCTACAATAACCTCTAAGTGTTCACGTGAAAGGAAGAGCCCCACTCTCTCACTTTAAATCAAAAGCTACAAATGATTAAGCTTAGTGAGGAAAGCATGTTGAAAGTTGAGATAAGCTAAAAACTAGGGCTCTTGTGCCAAACAGTTAGAAAGTTGTGAATGCAAAGGAAAAATTCTTGAAGGAAATTAAAAGTGCTACTCCAGTGACCACATGAATCATAAGAAAGCAGAACAGCCTTGTTGCTGATATGCATACATTTTGAGTGGTCTGAATAGAAGATCAAACCAGCCACAACATTCTCCTAAGCCAAAGCCTCATCCAGAGCAAGGCCCTAACTCTCTTAAATTCTATGAAGGCTGAGAGGTGAGGAAGTTGCAGAAGAAAAGTTTGAAGCTAGCAGAGGTTGGTTCATGCAATTTAAGGAAAGAAGCCACTTCCATAACATCAAAGTGCAAGGTGAAGCCATAAGTGCTGATGTAGAAGCTGCAGCAACTTATCCAGATGATCTAGCTAAGATAAATCAGGAAGTGTCTATACTAAACAACAGAGTTTCAATGGAGACAAAACAGCCTTACATTGGAAGATGCCATCTAGGAGTTTCATAGCTAGAGAGGAGAAGTCAATGCCTGACTTCAAAGCTTCAAAAGGCAGGATGATTCTTGTTAGAGGCTAACACAGTTGGTGACTTGAAGTTGAAGCCAATTCTCATTTACCATTCTGAAAATCCTAGGGCCCTTAAGGGCCCTATAAGTTCTCTAGAAGTGGAAAAACAACACCTGGTTGAGAGTATAACTGTTTACAACATAGTTTACTGAATATTTTAAGCCCACTGCTGAGACCTACTGTTCAGAAAAAGAGATTCCGTTCAATATGATTGCTCATTGACAATGCACCTGGTCAACCAAGAACTCTTATGGAGAGGTACAATGACATTATGTTATATTCATGCCTGATAACGCAACATCTATTCTGCAGCCCATGGGCAAACTGTCATTTTGACTTTCAAGTCTTAATACTTAAGAAATACTTTTTGTAAGGCTATAGCTGACACAGAATAGTGATTCCTCTGATGGATCCAAGTAAAGTAAAATTGAAAATCTTCTGGAAGGGATTCAGGATTCTAGATGCCATTAGGAACATTTGTAA